GTTGGAAGACAGCGGCCGCGGTTTGAGACAAAACCCGGTGTTCCCCCAGGACATGGCGTTCGCCAGAGGACGGGAGAGGGGGCAGGGGGAGAGGGAAGGGAGAATTTTCGTCAGTTGGGGGAGGGGGGGGGGGCGACGCAATGGTTGAACCGAACCGAACAAAACGAAGGAAGTCATCGTAAACACACACACGATACGCACAGGCTACCCCCGGAAGCTGCTACTAACGAGGCGAACCTTGGGAGGCTAAATCCCATACGGGGCAGTCCATGGCTCAAGCACTCCACGTGCCCTCCAGGCATCACGACCAACTACGCCAAAAAAATTAGACACAGGGCGCGACAAGCCTTTCCACATTGCGACAGGGGCGCTATCAAGCAGCAGCAGCAGCAGCAGCAGCGGCAGCAGCGTGGCTCACCTTCCTTCTTGACGACCATCTTGAGCTCGTCCACGCAGATGGACCCGTTGTTGTCGGCGTCGATCTCTCGGAACGCGTCCCGGAGGTGCCCTTTCATAATTCAAATGCACAGACAGACAGGCCGACCACCCGGCAGATTGATGAATAGACAGACAAAGAGACAGAGAGACAGAGACACACAGAGAGAGAGAGACACACAGAGAGAGAGACAGACACACAGACACACACACAGACAGACAGACAGACGGTCAAAGACAGGGCAAAGGGCAGGACAGACAGATAAGACGGACAGACAGGCACAAGGACAAACACAAAAAATGGAGTTCGATCATTTGATATTATGAGTGCCGACATTGCTCACGGTGGCTCGCTACATTTCCGCACTAACAACCAGTAGGTGACCCATGGCCCTACGGAGAGATACAGCAAAAACAAAGGCTTTCGGGCGAACTATACTGCGACATCTCATCCACCCGCAGTTGCCGGGATCGATCTTCCGGAACACCTGCCTGGGGTGCTGGTAGACAAAACACAGCCAAGGGACGCGAAGCGCATTCGTGTGCGTGCGCAGGCAGAAAGCAGAGGTATTGCATCACTTGACGCATTCCCTTGCAGCCATAAGCGCGATCTGATAAGCCACCCCACCCACCTCCCCGACAACAAAGGTGCCCCAACGTTCCAGACAGGGCGCGGGGGGGGGGGGGAAACAGAAATCCCCCCATGCTAAAAAACGGGAGCCCGCAGAAAGAGTACACCCCCCCCCCCCCCCCCCCCCCTAAAAAAACCCCTTTTCAGGAAAAAAACCAAAAAAGGGGAAAAAGGGGAAAACGGAAAACCCCTTTTAACAAACCCCCCCCCCCCTTTTAAGGGAGGCCCCCCCCCGGGGGCCCCCCGATCAGGGCCTTCGGAGGATTTTTTTTTTTCCCCCCCCCTGAAAT